TGATGACATTTCTAAAGGTATTTTTTGTTGTTGTTGTTGTTCAGGACTATGACATGACATTTCTAAATGTCTTTTGTTGTTCAGGACTATGACATGACATTTCTAAATGTCTTTTGTTGTTCAGGACTATGACACGACATTTCTAAATGTCTTTTGTTGTTCAGGACTAAGACACGACATTTCTAAATGTCTTTTGTTGTTCAGGACTAAGACACGACATTTCTAAATGTCTTTTGTTGTTCAGGACTAAGACACGACATTTCTAAATGTTTTTTTGTTGTTCAGGACTAAGACACGACATTTCTAAATGTTTTTGTTGTTCAAGACTATGACATGACATTTCTAAATGTTTTTGTTGTTCAAGACTATGACATGACATTTCTAAATGTTCTTATGTTGTTCAGGACTATGACATGACATTTCTAAATGTTCTTATGTTGTTCAGGACTATGACATGACATTTCTAAATGTTCTTAGGTTGTTGTTGTTGTTGAGAACTATAATATGATGTTTCTAAATGCTTTTTCTCTCCTGCTTTTACAAGAGAAGATATCAATATCCTGACCACAATCATTTTATGAGTATCATTACCTAAATCATGTAGACATTAATACCTTAGTAGTAAGTAGAAAGCTTAAAAATAAATAAAGCACAGGACCAGGTAAGGTTTTTTCCCCCCCCATAAGGTTTTAAAAAGAGGTCAAAGATGAGATATGCAATCCTCTCTTTTATTCATTTTTAGTAGGTTGATAAGAATTGGCAGGTGCCTGAAGATTTGAGAATTAATTGCTTAAGTTACTCCAATTTTCAAAGGTGTTTTAAGATTTGCCTTAGAAATTAGTCTGATTTTTGTATTGGGAAAAATACTAAAAAGTCTGATAAAAAAATTTATAAAATCATTTAATGAAATATATCATAAAGGAAAACCAGCATGTATTCACTAAATGGAAATCTTGCTTTACTAATCTGTTATCTCTTTTCAAGGGCATTACCCGTTTTCAGGATAAAAGAAAGTATGAGCTTGGTTTTTCAAAATGCTTTTGATAAAAGTACCAGACAAATAAAAATAAAAAATCACATCAGGAATGGTTTGTGAAAGAGAATAATTACATTGTTGAGTGGTTTTATGGGAGAAAAAAAATGCTATCAGTGGAGTCCCATCAAACTGTACCCTTGTTAATAGTGGAGCATCTTAGGGGCTAATGCTTAGACATTTGCTCTTTAATATTTAAATTCATAACTATGATAGGGTCATAACTAGTAAAGTTTTCCAAAAGTATTAAACTACTGATTAATTCTAGCTGTATTGAATTGTTGAAGTATTACAAAATAACTTGGATCAGTTGATAAGTAGGAAAAATATTTGGCTTAGGACCTTTAATTATACTAGGTGCACAATAATGCAAATTTCATTCCCATGCTCATTATACATGGGTACTCACTCAAGCTATCCAAGGAATGCTCTGTTGTAGCAGTAAGCTAATAGGAGTGACTTGTACGTATAGTCACCTTTTTGTATTTGTAGTCAATATATATACACACATGCGTACGCTTAAATATTAATTGTGCCACCCTTGGAATACTGTGTGCAAGTTTCATTTCTGTATCTATGAAAGGATACTGATTTACTGGAAAGTGTTCAGAGGAATGTTGCTAGGCTGATTCCTCTGATGGAAGGGTTAAGAAGAACTTATTTTCTCATGAGAAAGTAAGGATAAGAGGTTATCTTATTGAGGAAAAAGTACAAGATTAATTCAAAAGAACATCTGGTTGCTAAAGACTATTTTTTTCACACCCACCCTTATAAGAAGTAAATTCTAAAATCACTCTTTACTTTCCAGGAAATCACCAATTCATTTTTTAAACTGCTTTAGTGTCAACGTTCATTAATGAAGACAACAACACTTTCCACTAGTCATCAATCACCCAGTTAAAAAAAACAACAAAAAAACTGTCTTAACATATGCAACAACCAAATTACACATTACTTTAAGGGTAAGATACTAAAAAAATACAACTTATACAAGTTTCAGAAATTAATAAATTAATGCCTGGCCAGTACTTTCTGTAGCTAGGCATCTCAAACACAGAAATATTAAAAGGAAAGAACAGCAACATTGCCAAAATCGAAGCACAATGCAATAAAGTCATGAGAAACAAAAAAAAAACCTACCTGGCAAGATTACACAAAAGGATAATTAAGAGAATTAAACAACTCTCAAGAATAATGCCAAATCACAAATAATAATCAACAGTATCAAAAATGCCCTTATCACTTGAAATAATCACCAAATGAATTTAGCATCCATACATCACCACTAGGGAAACCTTGTGTGGATTTCTTAATATGCAAATTACTCAGTAATTAATATACAGTAGATGGTAAATGAGCTAGCACTTTTAAGATAACTAAAAATATTGTATAACTATAAGAAAACTACAAAAACAATAAACTAGTCCATAGCTAAAGATAAAACAGAAATCACTACCTCACACAATTTTAACTGGAGCCTAACAAAGTCTTAAATTAGAGTCCTCTCATCCTAATACCTTCAGAATATAGCACAAAGAAATCAGATACCTTCATCTTGTCAGTCTCCTGGATTATCTAATAAACTTTAAAAATTAAATTTAATAACATCACTTCTTACCCTACTTTACGCAAAAGATCCCATGGCTTTTGCTTTTCATGCCTTTGCTGATACATACGGCTGAGAGACACGGGAAATTATTAAACTATCTAAATTATCAGCCAAGACTGGGCGTTTTATTTTTACAAATAGTTAGATCAATGTACTCTAAGTAGGGTTATTACTATAGTAGTGTGGTTCTTATTTCGATAAATGTATAATAATATAGATTATAAAAAAAAAGCCTCTAAAAATCTATCTAATATAAGAAACGTGCTAATTAGAGTAATCGACCTTTTTGAAAAAATGTCATACAATTAGAACACTAATGATAATGTAATAATTTGCAAAATAAAAAAGTAAAGCTTTTCAACTAGCACATTTATTTAATATGACGTTAATCACCAGTTAATTTTAAATTTAATAAGAACTTTAAATAGCACGACTAAACTATTTAATCTCGCCGCATACAAAAGAAGAAAGATTAATACGTACTTTTCATAACATTACGAAACAAATACTTTACGATACAAATTACTGAATTACCATAACTTACTTTCCCACCAACTACACTTTTTAAAATTCTTTTATAACCACGTGAAATCTCTCTTTATCAGATATAGTGTCCTCTGTTGACGGAATTTCATTTTAAAAGCAACAAACAACCTATTATCATTATTTGATAATATATTTATTACTGTATTTAGATTTATCAATTCTCTCTCTTTATATAAATAAATAAATATAAATTTGTATATACATATATTTGTAATTAGAAACAAGTGTGAATATTATAATTTTAAATACAATCCAAAGTACACAGCGTGGTCACAAGTAAATAGACATCACCTTTTCAGAAAAAATGAAAATTTTCAGTCATATTTACATGCATCGATATATTTATAATTTAATTAATATCTAGTAGATCTTCCTTTCGC